TGAATGGCTTAAGAAATTCATTTATAATTCATGACCATTTTGTACAATATCGATCAAAACTATGGACTCATATGAGAAAACAAAAGGAAAAGGAATGTGGCTTGCATTTGGGAATTGAGCTACAGTAATCATAGAGGAATGAAATTAGAAATTCAAATGTACAGAATTTTGTATTTCATTCACATATGTAGTCATTCGGTGCTTAGCTTTTGCATCAGAAACAACATACCTCCTAAGCGGCAGTTTAGGCCACCCAAGTCTGAAGAAGAAGAAAGAACCACATTGGAAGATTGTATCCCAAAGTCCACTCGTTCCTCTACGAAATGGGCCTTTAAAAGTCTTTTCCGAATGGCAAATCGAGTAAACAAAGATCCTTGCGAAGAGCAGAGTTCGTTTGAAATTGACATTGGAAAAGTACAATCATTAGAAACGAATATTGTCAACTTCATGTCTAAAAACTTTTAAGAAAGACCTTAAGACTCATTTGTTTAAACTAGCTTTTGAATTATAATTTATATATATTTTACAGCGCTTAGAGCCGACTTGTATAGGCGCTATATAAATCATATTATATTATTATTTATTATTATTAACATGAATGCAGAAACTCTGAACTTTTGGTTGACAAAGTTTGTCCAGCAGGTGGTGAAGGTAAACGGAGAGAGGTATCCTGGAAGAAGTCTATATATGATTGTTGCTGGCCTTCAACGCCATCTAGCAGAAAGTGGAAATGCTATTTCACTACTAAGTCAAAACGATAGAAGGTAATGAACAAGTTTATTTTTGTACGAGTATGGTTATGGTATTCTGGGTTTGATTCGATTATCCTTCTTGTAATTCTGAGTTAGAGTCATTATTAATATTTTTATTAATATTTGTTTCTTTCAAGGCTTAACATATTCAGACGTGCTTTGGATGCGGAAATGCGGCAGGCGACCCAACATGACGTGGGAATACAATCGAAAATGGCGGAACGAGAAGAAATAACATAAGAAGATGAAGCTGCTTTTTGGAAGATGGGTATTCTGGGCTGCCACTCGGCTAACTCCTTGCTGAAAACAATTTACTTCTATAACGGTAAATTATTTGGATTACGCTCAAAAGAACATAGGAATTTAAGGTGCTCCAATTTTAGAATAGATTCTGAGTCAGTTACCTACGATGAAAGCGTTTCAAAAACATACCACGGCGGCTTGAAAGATTTAAAATACAAGGCCAGAGTAGTTAAGCACGTTTGCTGCGCTGGCAAAGATGCTAATCATCAGCCTTGTCTAGTAAATTGTTTTGCTACTTATATGGAAAAAATCAAACACCTAGCCAAGGATATAGATGCATTTTATTTCAAGCCAAATGCAAATACTCGGGATAACACTTTTTGCCGTTCACCTGTAGGGATGAATACGTTAAACAAAATTTTGCCAAACTTGTGTGAAGAAGCTGGGATGGAGCGTAAGACGTCACATTGTTTAAGAATAACTTGCGCTTCGCGTTTGTTTCAACATCAGGTAGACGAGAAATTGATACGCGATAGGAGAGGGCATCGCTCCAATGCTTTGCTTAACTGTTGTGAGCAACCTGCTCGGACCACCGCTCAAAAATCTTGCAGATAATAGCGCTACGGTTGCCACTAGCACTAAAACTAGTTCTTCTGAAACAAACGTAAGCTGTTCCAACGTTCTAGAAGATATTGAATCGTTAGATTTCGAAGTCGCAGATAAATTGTTAGGTAACATGGTTTTACCAGATACTTCTAACGCAGCCAATGTTGTTATTTCGGGATCAATATTCAACAATTGTACTTTTCATTTGAGCAAGTAAGCCATCAGAAAATAAATGTTATGATTATTCAGAGTCTGATATATTTTATATTTACTATTTTATGGACATGAAACATTATATAATGACACATGTGGTATTATATAATGCTTCATGTTCATTATCATTCCATTGTTCTTCTATTCTACCCCATTATTCCCCTGGGCCGCATTCAAATCCCTCCCCGGGCTTTAAGCTTCAAACGTAGTTTATGCGGTATAAAAGAGTTTTCTCGTGATCAGAGAAGAGCTTCGGATTGGACAAAATGGTCATGAATTATTAATGAGTATTTTAATTTTTTTGATAAACTCTCCAAGTTATGTGTCTTTCTTAGAGATCATGTTTTTGTTAATCAGGTCTCGCCTACGCAGCGGTACCTCTCGGCTGGGGATCTCGCTTTTTTCTGTTTCGAATTCTACGCTGGAGATAGAGCATCAGACTTGGGCAGAGTTTTCACCAAGGAAGTCCTGGCACTCCCAGACAATAGCGGTCTCGTATGTCGTCACATTTTTGGAAAAACCTTAAGGGGATTGGGGACCAATACTTTTATGATCAAGCATTTTGTCGAGATTCTGTCATTTGTCCGGTAGCCAATTTAGAGTTGTAAATGGCACTTTGCGATCTAATGACTGTCGATCTTAGAGATGGTTACCTTTTCAGAATAACCGACTGCAAGGGAGCCATAGCGAGGGACCCGTTCATAGGGTTAGCGGTGGCCAATCGCTTAAAACAGCATCTTCAGACTTTCAGGAATTCACAGGAAAGAAACAATGCACAGTTTTAGGAGCGGGTGCTCTATCACATTAATGTTACTAGGAGTGGCCTCGGAACACATCGCAAGGCATGTGGGCTGAAAGAGAGTGGAAATGGCGGAGTACTACTCACAAGTGGGCAAAGTTACCCACACTGCTAACACGGCAACTACTCTTGCAGAAAGCACCGCCGCGTCCGAGGGTGCAAAAGCTCGTGCGTCTTCCATGACATAGCAGTTCCTCCATAGCAATGACCTTTCGGGTCTTTCACGTGCATTTCCTTAAAGAATAACATTTATACATTTTGGAAGGGGAGTTTTTGAGTTTTGGGAAAATGTGTCAATGTTTTAGCTTTAGTTTGTGACATACAGGGATAAGTCGTATGTCACGTAGTGCTTTAGCATAAGCCGGAGGCAGAATTTCACATTCCTTCTCAAACTTTGTTTGCAAATATGCTTCGCGATTTTGTCTAAGTTCCCTCTGAGAGTTCAAAAGCTGACCAATCTCAGAAAGTCAGTCTGATCTGCAAGTTCATCTATAATGATTTTCAAGGGGGAAATACATATAATATATGCAATAATTATTCGTCCATCTACAACTTATATATGAATATAAGAAATCTTTGGTTTAAATTGTGGAGGTGCTCTCGAATTTATATAACATTTGGACGGAAAATGGATACGCAGTAGCAAGGGTCCCTTCCCCGGCCCCGAACTACCTTAAAACTTGTTAATAATGCACTAATACGACGTAGGAACGAACCCAGAATTAATTTCCATTCTATTTTTATTTCACTGTCGTTACCTCTTCATTTTCGTTTTTATTTTTGGTTTTCAATCTGAAGGTTTGTTCTTGTTCTTGTTACATTTAAGGTTGGTTTTGTGTTTGTTCCCGATCCGGATTTAAAGAAGAATGCAAGGTATCTACCATTTTCCATTCATTGTATATATATTCTACCATCTGCTTTTTTGAAATACTATAAGTATTTTTTCTTCTGTAGTAGTAAAGAATCCTAATCAGCATCGCCTGGCACCGCTTTTCAAGAGGTAAGCTAAATAGGTGTACAAAAAATACAGATCTTAACAACTATCGTCATATTTCTCTCCTCTCTATCTTTGGAAAAATCCTAGAAAAAATTGTCTATAAAAGAATGTGGAGTTATATTGAAGAGAGAAATATTCTCTATGACAAACAATTTGGCTTTCGATCAAATTACTCTACTGATTATGCGATTCTGAGCATCATAGGTAAGGTACGAAAGGCAATTGATAATAAGGAATTCTCTYGTGGAATTTTTTTGGACATGAGCAAAGCCTTTGACACAGTTGACCACCAAATTTTACTTGAAAAACTAAATCGTTATGGCTTTCGTGGGTCTATTCTTGATTGGTTGATTGATTATTTGAAAGATAGGAAGCAGTTTGTAGCTATAGGGGCAGTTTGTTCTGAGCACCAAACAATCTCACTCGGAGTACGACAGGCTCCGTACTAGGTCCCCTTTTATTTCTCATATACATTAATGATTTTCATCTCTGTTCTAGCATCTTAGACTTCCATCTCTTTGCAGATGATGTTAGCTTATTTTATAAACATCAAAACTTAACTTCTCTACAAACATCAATATCAATGCTGAGCTTGACAACATTTATGCATGGTTATATGCTAATAAACTCACACTAAACATAGAAAAGTATAGCAACCGATTGTAGCAATATTCAATCCTTTTAAGATTCATTCAATCCAATCTTGAATGTTCATTCAATGTAAAACTCTCAATAAATATATATTCAATTCAATCCTCAAGACAAATATATATGCAATCATTACTCAAAATGTCCATTCAATCTAAACCTGAGCGATTTCACATTCAATCCAATCCTCAAGCGATATTCGTGCAATCCTAGAATACTTCGTTCAATATTCCTGGGGCAAGCCCCGTGATGTCCAAATGGTGTCATGTGACTCGATTTTCCCGCCGTTGTGTGACGGAACACGGCGGTCAAACGCAATGCGCATGCTCACAGTCTATGTTATCGTTTCCAGGAATACACGGCTTTTACTATATGTTTACTAGTGGAAAACCGGCAAAAGTTTTTGAACGTGTTTCAGCCCAAAAAATAAGAAAAATACTTAAAAGATAAGCTTTAAAATTTTACAATTTGCAGTTCTATTCGAGATAAATATATTCTGAGTTTCACACTTAAAGTTAAGCTCTCTCAAGTAAGTTTTTACAGTTTTTCTCGACGTATATTTACAAACGCCGGCTTTACGCTCGATAGTACTACGATACGTTTTCTACGCTGTCATGATCTTTCGTCCTCAATTATTTCTTCTTTTATTGCATGTGATAAGTGGGTTTCTTTGTGTAAATGATTTGCTGTTTATTCGATTACGTCACTTCGTCAATTACTATTAGCGTAGTACAATGTTTCAGCCTCGTGGCTTTAGATTGAATACTGTACGGGAGGAAAGAGGTATGTACTATGTCATCCTTCTTATTCCCCCCCCCCCCTTTATATCATATATATAGTGTTACATGATCATTTACAATCACCTATACCTGATTACGGAAGAAACCCATCAATATCTTTAGATTCATACTTCAATGTATACAAATTTGTTATGATTTAAAGAACCAAACTTATACAATGTTACCAAAGTTTACGCATGTGATTCTAG